TCCTCTACACAGACAACAAACACACTGAGAGGGAAATTGTAGAAAAAATACCTTTTACAATAGCACTGAGGAAAATGAAATTCCTTGGAATTAATCTAACTAAAGAAGTCAAAGATCTTTTCAATGAAAATTACAGTACTCTGAAAAAAGAGGTCGTAGAGGCTTTCAGAAAATGGAAAGATATTTCATGCTCCTGGATAGGAAGAACCAACATTGTGAAGATGGCCATACTCCCAAAATTGCCGTGCAGATTTAATGCAATCCCTATCAGACTTCCACCTACATAGCTTATAGACCTAGAGAAATCATTCCTAAAATTTATCTGGAAGCATAAAAGACCTGTAATAGCAAAGGCAATTCTGGGCAATAAAGACAAAGCAGGAGGCATTACAATTCCTGACTTGAAATTATACAAGGCTACTGTGATAAAATCAGCATGGTACTGGCAACAAAATAGACCTGAGGATCAATGGAATAGATCAGAGGACGGTGAAGCCACTACGAACACACTCAATCACCTTATCTTTGACAAAGGGTCCAAACATACCCACTGGAAGAAAGATAGCCTCTTTAACAAATGGTGCTGGAAAAACTGGCTCTCTACATGCTGAAAACTAAAACTTGACCCAGGTCTAGCACCATACACTAAACTATAGTCAAAATGGATTAAAGATCTAAACATTAAAGCAGAGACACTAAATCTCCTGGAAGAGAAAGTGGCAGCAACTCTTGAAGACATAGGGATAGGCAAAGAGTTCAAGAACAGAAATCAAATTGCATGGGAAACAGTTGAAAGAATTAACAACTAGGACCTGCTCTTACTGGGAACTTTTTTCACATCAAAAGAAATTACCAACAAAGTGAAAAGGCAACACACAAATATTGAAAAAATCATGACAAATCAGTACTCAGACAAAGGTCTGCTTTCTAGAATTTATAAAGACTAAAAAACACTAGGGCCCGAATATTCAAAGACCAAATCCAGAAATGGGCATCCGAGATGAGCACACACTTCTCACAGGAAGAAATTAAAGAAGCGAATAAATATATGAAAAAATGTTCCACATCACTAGCCATCCACAAAATGCAAATTAAAATAACATTAAGATATTATCTCACCCCAGAAAGAATGGCTATCATAATGAAATCACCCAACAACTAATGTTGGAGAGGCTGTGGGGAAAAAGGAACCTTTCTCCACTTCTGGTGGGAATGTAGACTGGTGCAACCGTTATGGAAATCAGTATGGACAGCCCTTAGAAAAGTTGGACTGGAAATACCATTTAAAACCAGCTGTTCCTCTACTGGGAATTTTCCTGGAGGATCTGAAAACATCATATCATAGTGATATATGTATGTCTTTGTTTATAACAGCACAATTTGTGATACCCAAATCTTGGAAACAACCAAGATGCCCATCACCTGAGGAATGG